TTGAATAAGTAATACATTCATATGATTCAAAAACCGAAACTACAATGAAAGTTATACAGTGAAAAAGTCTTGCTCCTATTCCTCTCCTATCTTTCCAGTTCACTCTACCTTCCCCCAATCAGTTAATCCCTGTAAATGCAATTTTTTTCAGGGTTCTTTTTTTTTTTTTTTTTTGAGACAGAGTCTCACTGTTGGCCAGGCTGGAGTGCAGTGGCACGATCTCGGCTTACTGCAACCTCTGCCTCTCGGGTTCAAGCAATTCTTCTGCCTCAGCCTCCCGAGTAGATGAGACTACAGGCACGTGCCACCACGCACATGTTTTTGTTTTTGTTTTTTTTTTGGTATTTTTAGTAGAGACGGGGTTTCACCGTGTTGGCCAGGATGTTCTCGATCTCCTGATCTCGTGATCCACCCGGCTTGGCCTCCCAAAGTGTTGGGATTACAGGCGAGAGCCACCATGCCCGCCCGGTCTCAGGGTTCTTTATGTAGCATATATACTCTTATTTTACCTCCTTTCTTACATAGTGTATTATACTGTGTTTGGCACCTTGATTTTTTTACTCTTAGCAATACATCTTGGAGATCTTTTCATATTGGTACAAATACAGTTTCCTCATTCTTTTATATGTCATAGTATTTCACTGTATGAATGATTCTTAAGTTATCTAACCAGTATCCTGTTGAGAGATACTTGCATCATTTCCAGTCTTTTGCTGTTATAAAAAAACTGAAATTAAGAACACTGTGTATATTTTATATGTGTTCAGATATATTGGCAAACACTCAAAAATCGAATTGCTGGTTCAATGGAAAATGCTATATTGGTAATTTTTTAAATACCATTCAGACCGCGTTTTCTACCTCTTAGTCTCCTGATGGAAGAGAAGAACGATTATCAATGGCAAATGGCAGTTTCAGCGAAGCAACACCAACAGCTGGCTTCCCACTCACTAGAGAATGCTGTGCCTCCTCCTTTTGGTTTCTGACGCCTTACACATTCAGAGAAACTATTCTAGTAATGAACTGAAGAAATGATCCCTGAAAGTATAGCCTTTATTCTTAGTTTTGATAGATAATGCCAAATTGCCCTTTATTGGAGTTTATACTACCCATTAGGAATATATTAGAGTGTTTACTTTTCCACAGCCTTGCTAATAAAATGAGTTATTAATTTTTGGGGTGGTTGCCAATCTTAGTAATTGTATTTTGCTTCTTTTTTATTTTTTGAACAAAATGGGTACATTTTTGTTAGACTACCTGATACAGAAGATAGCGTGGTATGGATGAATAGCATGAATAACAAATGATACCAATGCACTTTATTTGAAATAAACAAAAATGCCTACACAGCTCAATGGGCCACTTGGAAACAAACTGTTGCTTGACTGTGTTACTGAGCAAAAACAAAGTCAAAGCACAAACACCCTTCTTTTTTGACACGTATTTGGAGATAGGTAGGAAGACACTATCTGGTTCTTTTATTTTTTTTATTTTTTACTTTTTTTTTTGAGACAGAGTCTCGCTTTGTTGCCCAGGCTAGAGTGCAGTGGCCGGATCTCGGCTCACTGCAAGCGCCGCCTCCCGGGTTTACACCATTCTCCTGCCTCAGCCTCCCAAGTAGCTAGGACTACAGGCGCCCGCCACCTCGCCAGGCTAGTTTTTTGTATTTTTTAGTAGAGACGGGGTTTCACTGTGTTAGCCAGGATGGTCTCGATCTCCTAACCTCGTGATCCGTCCGTCTCGGCCTCCCAAAGTGCTGGGATTACAGGCTTGAGCCACCGCGCCTGGCCTATAATGCATGATATTAATATAGTTTGAGTGCTTGTCCCCTCTAGTTCTTGGGTTGAAATATAATCCCCAATGTTGGAAGTGGAGTCTGGTGGGAGGTGTTTGGGTCATGGGGGCGTATCCCTCATGAATGGCTTGGTGCCCTCCCCATGGTAATGAGTGGATTCTCCCTTTGGTAGTTCACACCATAGCTGGTTGTTCAGAAGTGCAGAACCTCCCCTGTCTGTCTTGCTGCTTCTCTCACTAGGTGATGCATCTGCTCCCCCTTCACCTTCAACCACGATTGTAAGCTTCCTTAGTCTCTCACCAGAAGCCAAACAGATGTGGATGCCATGCTTGTACAGCCTGCAGAACAGTGAGCCAATAAACCTTTTTTCTTTGTAAATTGCCCATACTCAGGGATTCCTTTCTAGCAATGCGAATGGGCTAACACAGATATGTTCAATGTTTACTTCTCCTTGGTATTGCGTAGTTCAATGTCCTATGCAGAAATTACAATAACACAGTGTGTTAATGCGGCGTTTCCTGCAATCCTTACACAATAATCTGTGATGCATTGCCTAAGGTGTTTTATGTCTGATTTTCACCAAATAAACCTATTCCTTTAATATACCCCAGCAAAGGTAATCAAGGTGGTTCAATCTGCTATATATAGTAATATTATATGCATGTACCGTATAATATTTTTTTTTCAAATTTGATGCTTTCAGAAAAACTAGAAAAGACCAAGATACTGCCACAGATCGGAAGAGACTGAGGAGCTAAGGACAACCAATATGCAGCAGAGGACCCTGGACTGGACTGCAAAACAGGAAAAGAACTTTTTTAAAAAAATGGTGAAATCCAAATAAAGTCTGGGGTTTTGTTCAAAGTAATGTACCAATGTTGGTTTCTTAATTTTTGATAAATATGCTACTGTGATGTAAGATGATGGCATTAAGAGAAACTGAAACTGGATAAGGAGTATAAGACAGTTCTCTGTACTACCTTTGCTACTTTTCTGTGAATCTGAAACTATTCCAAAATAAAAAGTTTATTTTTAAAGAAACGATGTTGCTAGATGTTTTGAACACCTTGTATTGTAATGCTGTGTTTATCTTCCTCACTAGACTGTGAACACCACCAGAGCATGGACCATTCAGCACTATCCGTGGGCCCGTCAGTAGTTAGTTATCGTGGATAACCTTAAGATGATGAAGACAAGCCAACAAGACATTGAGAGGTTCTGAAAAAGCACCAACTTGGTGTCTTCCCTACCTTACGTTACAAACCATTCAATTTAATAAAACCAAATGTGTTGCAAGCAAACATTTTTATTTTCTGTATCTTCCATCCAGGCAGATTTAGAGAAAAAAATATATTTAGGAAACCTGCCCTAAAAAGCTGACAACCCCCTCTTTTCTCCACCTGTTGGCCTTCTCTATTCATTTTTAAAAGTTCTCTTTCTCCTTGCCCCAAAGTTTTTTGCACAGCAGTTTTGGAGAAGTAGAATGAAGAGAAGGCTTGGAGTTGGGAACTGGGTTCTCGTCTGGACCCTTACTTTCTGGCTGTGTAAACCTTGGGTAAGTTACCTAATCTCTCCAAGCCTGTTTTTCCACCTCCCTAACAGGACTAAATGAGAACGCACTAAGTCTAAGATACTAGGCTGCTTTCTGCGCTTTGTGAGTATGTGATTTTTTTTTTTTTCTGGCAATCTTGCTCTTTCTCAAGAGTTCCTGGGTGAATGGCACCACTCCCTACCCACTTACCCAAACCAGAATCTGAGTAATTTGTAACTCCTTCGTCTCTCTAACAGCGCCTTCCTACATGTCAAAATTGTCATTAAGTCCTATAGATTGTATTTCTTAAATATTTATCTGAGTCACCTTCCCATCTTGATCCCCATGATCACTGGCTGAGTTTCTCCCTAGACAACTGTTAACAGCCTCTAAACTAGCCTCTTTGCCTTCATATTTGTTCCTCATTTTTCATACCACTGCCTAATTGATCTTTTAAATGCAAATCTGGCCCGGTTACTCCCCAACATAAAATTTTCCTGTGGATTCTCATAGCCTTTAGGGTAAATCCAAAATGTCCAGTATGACATTGTGATCCAGGCTGTGAGTATCCATCCAGCTGCTTTCCTTTCCTGTCCCTGCTATATCCTTATGCTTTATCTGTTTTCAATTATTTGCAGTTGCTGAAAATCACTGTGCATTCTCTCACAATTATGCTACCGCCTCTGTCTGAAAGATCTCCCTTCACCCATTTTTAACAATTTGCTAAGCTAGTGGTCAGTTCCCCTTTCTTATCTTATTTGACCTATTGGCAGCATTTGACTCACTTAATTGCTCCCTCTTTGATTTTTCTTCACTCAGCTTTCAGAATACCAAACATTCCTGGTTTTCCTTTTATTCCACATCAGTTGCTCTTTCTTATTCTGTGCTGATCCCTTCTCTCCTTCCCAACCTACTGATATTGAAATGTACCAGGGCTCATTCCTTGAATTACCTTTTTCTACTCTAACTAGAACAATCATTTGCTTGGTGCTCTCATTCAGTCTCAGGATTTAGATACCATCCATATGACAATGACTCCCAAATGCATTACTCCAGGACAGACATATCCCTTGAACTCCAGGTTTATATATTCAACTTCCTACTCATCTTTTCTTGAATGTCAAATAGATATCTCAAACTGCTGGGATTACAGGTGTGGGCCATCGGGCCCGACATCTCAAATTTAGTGTGGTCAAAATTAAATTCCTGATCTATCCCCTGCAAAACGACTCTGTCCACAGTGTTCCCATCTAAGTTGATGGAAACTCTATTCTTCAATAATTAAAGCCAAAATCCTTGGAGTCGTTCTTAACCCCTCTCTTTCTTTCCTACCCATTTGCAAACTCTTAGGAAGTCCGACTGGTTCTAACCTCAAAATATATCCAGAAGGCTACCATTTTTCATGACCTCTGCTGATGTCAGCTTGGTTTGAACCAATGTCATCTCTCACTTACATTACTGCAAAATCCTCTTAAGTGGGTTTCCTGATTCCATGCTTGTTTCTTTCCCCAAAGCCTGTCTTCAACACAGCAGCCAGAGCGATAAAATATGACATCATATTATATTAAAACATCAGCTAATACAGCATTTCTTTTATCAAAATCCTGCATGACTCCTCACCCATAGACAGAGTAAAGCACACAATTATTGTATATCTTTAAAATTTCTTTTTCTTTTCCTCCCTGACACCGCCGAGGTCGCACGCGCGAGGCCTCTCCGCCGCCGCCGCCGCCGCAGACGCCGCAGCGATGCGCTACGTCGCCTCCTACCTGCTGGCTGCCCTCGGGGCTAACCCCTCCCCCAGCGCCAAGGACATCAAGAAGATCTTGGACAGCGTGGGCATCGAGGCGGACGACGACCGACTCAACAAGGTTATTAGTGAGCTGAATGGAAAAAACATTGAAGACGTCATTGCCCAGGGTATTGGCAAGCTTGCCAGTGTACCTGCTGGTGGGGCTGTGGCCGTCTCCGCTGCCCTAGGCTCTGCAGCGCCCCCTGCTGGTTCCGCGCCTGCTGCAGCAGAGGAGAAGAAAGATGAGAAGAAGGAGGAGTCTGAAGAGTCAGACGATGACATGGGATTTGGCCTCTTTGATTAAATTCCTGCTCCCCTGCAAATAAAGCCTTTTACACATATATAAAAAAAATAATTTTCTTTCCAACTCTTATTTTAAGTTCAAGGGGTACATGTGCACGTTTGTTACATGGATATATGGCATAATGCTGAGGTTTGGGTTTCTCTTGAACCCATCACTCATATTGTGAACATACTGCACAACTGGTAGTTTTTCAACCCCTGCCCCACTTCCTCCCTAACCCCTTTTTGGAGCCCCCAGTGTCTATTGTTTTCATCTTTCTCTACATGTATACCCATTGTTTAACTCCCACTTATGTTTTTTCTTTTTTATTATACTTTATGTTCTAGGGTACAGGTGCACAATGTGCAGGTTTGTTACATATGTATACATGTGCCATGTTGGTGTGCTGCACCCATTAACTCGTCATTTACATTAGGTATATCTCTTAATGATATCCCTCCCCGCTCCCCCAACCCCACAACAGGCCCCGGTGTGTGATGTTCCCCTTCCTGTGTCCAAGTGTTCTCATTATTAAATTCCCACCTATGAGTGAGAACATGTGGTGTTTGGTTTTCTGTTCTTGCGATAGTTCGCTGAGAATGATGGCTTCCAGCTGCATCTATGTCCCTACAAAAGACATGAACTCATCCTTTTTTATGGCTGCATAGTATTCCATGGTGTATACGTACCACATTTTCTTAATCCTGTCTGTCATTGATGGACATTTCGGTTGATTCCAAGTCTTTGCTATTGTGAATAGTGCCGCAATAAACATATGTGTGCATGTGTCTTTATAGCAGCATGATTTATAATCCTTTGGGTATATTCCCAGTAATGGGATGACTGGGTCAAATAGAATTTCTAGTTCTAGATCCTTGAGGAATCGCAACACGATCTTCCACAATGGTTGAACTAGTTTACATTCCCACCAACAGTGTAAAAGTGTTCCTGTTTCTCCACATCCTCTCCAGCACCTGTTGTTTCCTGACTTTTTAATGATCGCCATTCTAACTGGTGTGAGATGGTATCTCATTGTGGTTTTGATTTGCATTTCTCTGATGGCCAGTAATGATGAGCATTTTTTCATGCGTCTGCTGGCTGCATAAATGCCTTCTTTTGAGAAGTGTCTGTTCATATCCTTTGCCCACTTTTTGATAGGGTTGTTAGTTTTTTCTTGTAAATTTGTTTGAATTCTTTGTAGGTTCTGGATATTAGCCCTTTGTCAGATGAGTAGATTGCAAAAATTTTCTCCCATTCTGTAGGTTGCCTGTTCACTCTGATGGTAGTTTCTTTTGCTGTGCAGAAGCTCTTTAGTTTAATTAGATCCCATTTGTCAATTTTGGCTTTTGTTGCCATTGCTTTTGGTGTTTTAGGCATGAAGTCCTTGCCCATGCCTATGTTCTGAATGGTATTGCCTGTGTTTTCTTCTAGGGTTTTTATGGTTTTAGGTCTAACATTTAAGTCTCTAATCCATCTTGAATTAATTTTTGTATAAGGTGTGAGGAAGATATCCAGTTTCAGCTTTCTACTTATGGCTAGCCAGTTTTCCCAGCACCATTTATTAAATAGTGAATCATTCCCCCATTGCTTCTTTTTGTCAGGTTTGTCAAAGATCAGATGGTTGTAGATGTGTGGTATTATTTCTGAGGGCTCTGTTCTGTTCCATTGGTCTATATCTCTGTTTTGGTACCAGGACCATGCTGTTTTGGTTACTGTAGCCATATAGTATAGTTTGAAATCAGGTAGCATCATGCCTCCAGCTTTGTTCTTTTGGTTTAGGATTGTCTTGGCAATGCGGGCTCTTTTCTGGTTCCATAGGAACTTTGAAGTAGTTTTTTCCAATTCTGTGAAGAAAGTCATTGGTAGCTTGATGGGGATGGCATTGAATCTATAAATTACCTTGGGCAGTATGGCCATTTTCATGATATTGATTCTTCCTATCCATGAGCATGGAATGTTCTTCCATTTGTTTGCGTCCTCTCTGATTTCCTTGAGCAGTGGTTTATAGTTCTCCTTGAAGAGGTCCTTCACATCCCTTGTAAGTTGTATTCCTAGGTATTTTATTCTCTTTGAAGCAATTGTGAATGGGAGTTCACTCATGATTTGGCTCTCTGTTTGTCTGTTATTGGTGTAGAAGAATACTAGTGACTTTTGCACATTGATTTTGTATCCTGAGACTTTGCTGAAGTTGCTTATCAGCTTAAGGGGATTTTGGGCTGAGATGATGGGGTTTTCTAAATAAACAATCATGTCATCTGCAAACAGAGACAATTTGACTTCCTCTTTTCCTAACTGAATACCCTTTATTTCTTTCTCATGCCTGATTGCCCTGGCCACAACTTCCAACACTATGTTGAATAAGAGTGGTGAGAGAGGACATCCCTGTCTTGTGCCAGTTTTCAAAGGGAATGCTTCCAGTTTTTGCCCATTCAGTATGATACCGGCTGTGGGTTTGTCATAAATAGCTCTTATTATTTTGAGATATGTTCCATCAATACCGAATTTATTGAGAGTTTTTATCATGAAGGGCTGTCGAATTTTGTCAAAGGCCTTTTGTGCATCTATTGAGATAATCATGTGGTTCTTGTCTTTGGTTCTGTTTATATGCTAGATTACCTTTATTGATTTGCGTATGTTGAACCAGCCTTGCATCCCAGGGATGAAGCCCACTTGATCATGGTGGATAAGCTTTTTGATGATGTGCTGTTGGATTTGGTTTGCCAGTATATTATTGAGGATTTTTGCATCAATGTTTATTAGGGATATTGGTCTAAAATTCTCTTTTTTTGTTGTGTCTCTGCCAGGCTTTGGTATCAGGGTGATGTTGGCCTCATAAAATGAGTTAGGGAGGATTCCTCTTTTTCTATTGATTGGAATAGTTTCAGAAGGAATGGTACCAGCTCCTCCTGGTACCTCTGGTAGAATTCGGCCAGAGGTACTTTGATTCTTCTCTCTTTTCTTCTTTATTAGCCTTGCTAGTGGTCTATTTTTTTTTGTCTTTTCAAAAATCCAGCTCCTGGTTTCATTGATTTTTTTGAAGGTTTTTTTGTGTCTGCTCTGATCTACTTATTTCTTGCCTCTGCTAGCTTTTGAATGTGTTTGCTCTTGCTTCTCTAGTTCTTTTAACTGTGAGGTTAGGGTGTCAATTTTAGATCTTTCCTGCTTTCTCTTGTGGGCATTTAGTGCCATAAATTTCCCTCTACACACTGCTTTAAATGTGTCCCAGAGATTTGGTATGTTGTATCTTTGTCCTCATTGGTTTCAAAGAACATCTTTATTTCTGCCTTCATTTTGTTAGGTACCCAGTAGTCATTCAGGAGCAGGTTGTTCAGTTTCCATATAGTTATGTGGTTTTGAGTGAGTTTATTAATCCTGAGTTCTAATTTGATTGCACTGTGGTCTGAGAGAGAGTTTGTTGTGATTTTTGTTCTTTTACATTTGCTGAGGAGTGCTTTACTTCCAATTATGTGGTCAATTTTAGAGTAATTGCAATGTGGTGCTGAGAAGAACGTATATTCAGTTGATTTGGTGTGGAGAGTCGTATATTCAGTTGATTTAGTGTGGAGAGTTCTGTAGATGCCTATTAAGTCTGCTTGGTGCAGAAGTGAGTTCAAGTCCTGGATATCCTTGTTAACTTTCTGTCTCATTGATCTGTCTAACATTCACAGTGGGGTGTTAAAATCTCCCATTACTATTGTGTGGGATTCTAAGTGTCTGTGTAGGTCTCTAAGGACTTGCTTTATGAATCTGAGTGCTCCTGTATTGGGTGCATATCTATTTAGGAGATAGTTAGCTCTTCTTGTTGAATTGATCCCTTGAACATTATGTAATGGCTTTCTTTGTGTCTTTTGATCTTTGGTAGTTTAAAGTCAGTTTTATCAGAGACTGGAATTGCAAGCCCTGCCTTTTTTTTTCTTTCCATTTGGTTGGTAGATCTCCCTCCATCCCTTTATTTTCAGCCTATGTGTGCCTCTGCAAATGAGATGGGTCTCCTGAATACAGCATACTGATGGGTCTTGACTTTTTATCCAATTTGCCAGTCTGTGTCTCTTAATTGAGGCATTTAGCCCATTTACACTTAAGGTGAATATTGTTATGTGTGAATTTGATCCTGTGATTATTATGTTAGCTAGTTATTTTGCACGTTAATTGATTCAGTTTCTTCCTAGCATCCATGGTCTTTACAATTTGGCATGTTTTTGCAGTGGCTGATACCAGTTGTTTCTTTCCATGTTTAGTGCTTCCTTCTGGAGCTCTTGTAAGGCAAGAGCTGGTGGGGAGGTGACAGAATCTCTCCGCATTTGTTTGTCTGTAAAGGATTTTATTTCTCCTTCACTTACAAAGCTTAGTTTGGCTGGATATGAAATTCTGGGTTGAGCATTCTTTTCTTTAAGAATGTTGAATATTGGCCCCCACTCTCTTCTGGCTTGTAGGGTTTCTGCTGAGAGAGCTGCTGTTAGTCTGATGGGCTTCCCTTTGTGGGTAGCTCGACCTTTTCTCTGGTTGCCCTTAACATTTTTTCCTTCATTTCAACCTTGGTGAATCTGACAATTATGTGTCTTGGGATTGCTCTTCTAGAGGAGTATCTTTGTGGTATTCTCTGTATTTCCTGAATTTGAATGTTGGCCTGTCTTGCTAGGTTGGGGAAGTTTTCCCACATAATATCCTGAGGAGTGGTTTCCAACTTGGTTCCATTGTCCCCATCACTTTCAGGTACAGCAATCAAATATAGATTTGGTCTTTTCACATAGTCCCATATTTCTTGGAGGCTTTGTTCATTTCCTTTTGTTCTGTTTTCTCTAACCTTGTCTTTTTGTTTTATTTCAATAATTTGATCTTCAATCTCTGATACCCTTTCTTCCACTTGATCGATTCTGCTATTGAAGCTTGTGCATGTGTCACGAAGTTCTCATGCCATGGTTTTCAGCTCCATCAGCTTGTTTAAGGTCTTCTCTACACTGTTTATTCTAATTAGCCGTTCATCAAACCTTTTATCAAAGTTTTTAGCTTCCTTGCTATGGGTTGGAACATGCTGCTTTAGCTCAGAGAACTTTTTTATTACTGACCTTAAA